CGTATGACGCAAAATACTGCAAGAGGGTTCCATCAGGCAGGTGTGAAGAAGAGGTAAATGCTGTAATCCCGAGGGTGCCTGGATTCGGCCCTCAGGGATCGCAGAAGTGTCACCGTGACCACTGCGATATGCATCTCAGAGTGTATAGTGTCATTCGGCAAAGCTCTGAAATGATATCAGACATAAGGAATAATTGGCCATTTTTGCTCGATTTTTATTGACCGCCGAGTATCGTACTACGAACCGTCCGTCTATTTCTTGGCTTCAGAATGCTGTAATTCGCTCCCCAGAATTCGTCCCCCTCAAAGGCTCAACTAACCATCGATTCTCGCACACCCACCCAATCACACCGCAGTTAGTGAAAAGCCAACCTTGCGGAAGGCAAAGCGGCGCACATCGGGCATGAGAGTATGCGGCGGTATGGAGCAGTATAGCGGGGGATTCTGGCTGTCAAGGTTCACCCATGTGACAAGATGCCATCGCTCCAAGTAAGCAACCTCCTCATTAGGTCATGGCAATGGGTGGTGATGTGACCCTGCAGCCGCCTGCCGATTATCGAAATGATTGACTTCGTCCCCCTGCAGCCCCGAACGCTGGGCAATCAAGTGCCTGATGCGACTCCCCGCACCGGCTCCCAGCTTCGGCAGCATCAGAGACAAAATTCTTGAAGAAGCAAGTGACATGCTCATCGGACCACCCTGATTGCAAGGTGCCATCCAATGCAACAGTTTCTATGCTGTGCAACCTGTGGTTGGTAGGCACCGGTCAAGCGCATAGGTAAAGTAAAAGCTTGCGAGCCTGTTGATCCATGCTATGAGTCTTGTCCAGAGTGGACAGCCATGGTCCTTATCGTGGGCTCGAACTGACGCACTTTCTCAACCCAATCGGCACTTGTTTTGGGGCTCACAAGGTCTTCTGCTGGTCGGAACCTGGAGCATATGCACCGATAAATCGGAGAACAACCAGGCTATGGTTGGCTCTGAGGGGTTGGGCGCTGTCTCGGTATTTTCGCGGCGCATCAAGATTCCTTGGCTCTAAATCATTCACGAGACCAACTGGCTCCAAGGGGGTGTGCATATGTGTGTGTGGGCTCGGGCATTATGCTCGACCATTAATTACCTTCCCTCAACTTTGCCAGAGCAGCAGCAATGCCTCCGCTCAAATGATCTTTGTCTTGGCTCTGCTCGCTCTGCTGGGGTTGCACCGAAGGACCTGGCTGAGCTGCACGGCGCGACTCCTCAATAGCTGCAGCTAGCATTGCTTCCTCCTCCTCGTCATCGTCATCCAGGTCGCCCATGAGCTGGAACTGACCTGCCTTGGAGGGGTTCGAAGCTGTCGGTGTGGAGTCTGCCTGCATCGCCCGGGAGACGGGAATTGCATCTTCAAGAAGCGCGTTACGAGCTGCATTCTGGGCAACGTTACCTCCAGCCGGCGGCTTGCGCACGGCTTTCTTGGTAGCCTTTCTCGCCCTAAAGGGCTCCTCGACTGCCTTGGACCATCGCTTGACCTTGGCACCTCCCCAGCCGTTGAGCATGCTCAGCTGCTCCTGGTCCGCATTGATTGCGTTCTTCAAGCTCCCGAAGTTGGCGACGAGAGCAACCGCGTCCGACTTATTGAGGTTTCTAGGCACTGTCACGAACTCGACGAGTCTGTCGGCATAGCTTGTTGCCTGTTGCCCCTTGATGGCTGTGAAACTTGCGTGCTCGTAGGACTTGTAGAGTTCGAGGTAACGGCCAGCCTCGGCGGCAGACCAACACAGGATAATGGTGATGTTGTTCACCAGTGATGTCTTGGATAGTTCTCGCAACGAATCCTCGTGGTTCGGGATGTCGACCATGACCAGTAGAATACGAAGCGAGTATTTGCCTTGGAGCTTTTGGATTCGGGTGTAGACGTATTCGGGATGCAATCGGTGGTAACGAAGACTATGTAAGCTCACGGTCAGCCTCACATCATGGCACGATACGCGCAACGCCGGTCCCCCGGATTTACGAACCTCAGAAACAGTGCACATGTAGTCTGTCCCATAACATAGTCTGCCGGAATATCGCTGTACTCCCAACCCATGCCACGGATGAAAGTCAGGATCGGATTGCCCCTCTGGCGCGGCGAGACGAGAATGTGCGACCCAGCCCCCCTCGAAGGGAGCGCCTGGGGTGTCGGCTGCACGATCTTGGATCCCGAAGAGCTCGTCGGCGGAGGTTTATCCATTCGCTGGGGGGTTGGCTGCTGGATCTTCTGAGGCGTGGGCTGTTGCACGGCTCGCTGCGATGAACCAGCTCTAGACTGCTGCGACGAGACCCGGTCCGCCGCAGCAGCCATGGCCTCCAGCAAGGAGTCGTCGGCGCCAAATTCGTCTTCCATAGCTGCTCGATTATCGATGTCGCCGTGCCTCGGGCGCCGTTCCAAGGTGCAATGGGTTGGAGGAAGCAGCGCCTGAAACGCGAGATGGGAGATCGTTCACGGACAGACGTCAGATTATTATTATAAGACCGTTATCACTTATCAGCCTCCGCCCCCACAGCTCTCGATCAACCCAAGTTCCTTCCTTCGGGAATTAATCAATCAATCTCTTACCGATCGATGCGCTTGGTCTTTTTTTTACTTATGTGAAACCATTAGCTTTTCAAGTGTTTACGATACATGCACATCAGTTGGGACCATAAATGTAAAGGTGACAAAGGAAGTTCTCATAAGTCTATGCTAATTCTTGGCTGCCTATATCCGGGCGCCATATGCTAGAAAGCAGTCCGACAAAAGAAACCAAATGCTCCAATTGACAAAAGAAAATGAAAATGCAAAAAAGTCGCTTCTCGACAAAGGAAATTGGGTATATACATAATCGCACAATTTTCCGGTCCAAAGTGTACTCAAACACTGGTAGTGGTGAAGAAGAAGAAGGGTGAGCGAGAATATCTCATAAAGAAGAGAAGAAAAAGAAGAAAAGAAGAAAAGGCTGAAGAAAAGAAATCGTGGGTATGTAAAGTTTGAACATGAAAAAAGAAGAAGAAAAGAAGAAGAAGAAGAAGAAGAAGAAGAAGAAGAAGTGGGACAAAAGAAAAAGAAGAAGAAGAAAAAAGAAGAAGAAAAAGAAGATCGTAGAATGAGTGTCCCTGCTTGGGGAAATATCCCGTCCTGGGGACTTAATGTCTGAATGCCAGTCGTCGTCCCAGACGATTGTGGCCAATAAAGAAGTGAAGATGAGAAAGAAGATAGAAAAGGAAAAAGAAAAGGAAATGAAATATTATCGCTCATCCCGTTCGTTCCCAGCTTTGCATGTAGCAGAAGATTCAACACCGCTACTGGTTGTGTTGTTTCACTTTTTAGATCCAAGTGCACTCGTTGTTGTCCTCTCCCATGGCGCAGCGGATGGAGTTGAGAGCCGAGAGCCAGCAGTCGAAGCCAGCCTTGGCGTTGCCCATCTCCTCCTGGCTGACACCCATGGCGGCCATGTTGTCGCGGAGGCGCTCGTAGGTCTCAATCATGATGTCGACCTGCATCTTGTCGAACTTGTTGCCAGCTCGAGGGGAAGCATCGGCCAGAGAGCAGACCATGTCCTGAGCCAACATGCCGATTGCGGGAGAGCCGAAGGCAGCGCTGGGCTTGTAGTCCTGAGGAGGAGTAGCAGGAGGGGTAGGACCGAAGGAGACAGGCTTGAAGTAGATGGCATCCTCCTTGAAAGGCATGTCCTGGTGAGGGAAGGCCACGAGGGTGACATCGGACTGAGGAGAGAGGCTGCCAATGCTGAATGTCCTGGAGCTGCCTTCGGAAGCGGTGCTGTTGTCGCTGTCGCTGTCGCTTTCGATCTCAGCAGCCTGGGGGTTCTCGTACAGATAGTTCCATGGGTGGGCCTGGAGAGGGTGAATGCCCTGCTCGTCAATCTGCTTGAGGTTCTCGGATTCAAGGCTGGCTCCGAATCGCTGGGCACGCGACTGTCGGAGGACAGGCTCGGGCTCATACTGGGACTCGGAAGAAGTGGAAGGGGAGCCGGAGTAGGCTTGAGGCAGAAGCAGAAGGGGCTCCTCAGACTCGGTAGGAGGAGTCGTAGGGGGGGTGGGGAGCGAGGGAAGAGCCTTGCTCTCACCGCGAACCTCCATCATGTTCTGGTAGCGCTGGGCCAGCTCATCAAGGTTGGACATCTTCCTGGTGAGAGGAAGAGGCTTGGGCTCCTCAGACTGGGGCTTGATAGCATTATAAGGCCTAAGATCGTAAGGTCGGGGCCTGTAGTCTTCAGTCTGCCATGTAGGCCTCAAGTCCTCAGACCTGGACTTCTGGTGAGGAGACTTGGGAGATGCGTTGTTCTTGGAGGAGAAGCTGGGCATCTTAACCAGCATTTGAAGTTTCTTAAGATTAGGTCGGGATTCCTTGGCGGAATCCGAAGTAAGGCCAAGGCCCTGAACCTCCTGGGTTGGAGGAGAGTGAACCTGCTTCCATCGAGACTCAATCTCGATGGCCTTGGAACCGTTGCGAGGAGGGCGGACGACGACTCCATCAGGGCCAGTGACGAGAGCATTAGACTCGAGAAAGCTCACCACTCGCGGGTCGTTGACGGGGCTGTATCGGGAACCAAAGCTGTTTCGTCGCTGTGATCGAGCAGACCTGGCTGCTTTGCTGGGCTCTGGAGTAGGAGTAGCAGTCTTGTCCTCGGAAGGCCTCTTGGACCACCAAGCCCTTGATCGGGGCGAGGAGGTCTTGTTGTTTGTGCGTGGCGATGTTCGGAGCATCTTGGCTGAATGTGAATGTGAAAATGAAAATTATAAAAGAAAAGAAGTGCAAACAAAAAAAAAAAGCTATATCAAATAGCTTGATGCAATTCTATCTAATACAAAAAGGAAATAAGGAAATGACCAAAGGAAAAAGACCAAAGGAAAAGACCAAAGGAAATTGTTCGTTACCGTTATTGCTGTTGTATGTCTGGATTATCTCATGATGTTGGGCTGGGGAACCGGTGCCTTTATGGAAACGAAGCTGGTGTAGATGCTCTGGCCCGCCCGTTCACGATGACTCTAAAAAAAGGGCCCAGAGACCAAACCGTGCGGCCGCGGACGCTCACCTTGGGTCTTGCTATGCGTCCGGATCACCAAAACAACAGACCCAAGGGCAAGGTCAGTGTCAGAATGGGTAAAACTGGGGAGCGCACAGGCCGTAAGGCTGCTGCTGAGCTTGAGCTGCGACCCCCGACTATGCTCGGCTCGACAGCGAAATTGGGTGTGAACTGGCTTGTGGTGTTGAGCGCCGTGAGAAGGAGGACCCGTTATGGAGACTGACAGACCCCGGACCCTGGCCCCAGATGCTGACTGAAGCCGACCGTCAGTGGGAGACCGTTCGTTGACAGCCCTGTAAATGCTGCTGTAGATAGCCACAGCCCTGGATGTAAACAAACAAGGTACCTGGCTCGCCTGCAGGTACACGCTCAATCGGTAAGTATCCCAACTGCCGCTGCGCGATGGATTCTGTCAGAGCTGAGAATAGGGCGTCGCCAAATGCTTCATGGATGGTGTTGTGAGAGTTTGGAAGACGGGGACAAGATTCGCGAGAGGGAAAAGTTATTATACGGCAAACAATACTCTTGATTGGCATCTAAGACAACCAGCGTGATTTCTTTCATCTTCTATCGTCGTCCTGTCTCCCTACCTAAGCATCCAAGACGAGTGCGAGCAGCTGCACACATACACGGTAATTGCTCCATGCACGCAGCCCGTAGCGAGCCAAACAGGCCTGGAATAGCACTAGGCAATCGATGCCTCCGTCCAGGCCTGCTGTTCAGTCGCCTGTAGGAGATGGAGATGGGCAGCGGGCCTGAAAACTAGCAGTAGCAATCTCAAATTTTGCCACATCTCGCGGAGGACAAGGGTGATCTTGGTGACGGTCACAGCTTTCTCAAACTCACACAGGCCAAAAAACGAGACGCATACGGAAATTACCCACTTACCGCTCCCTAGAATAGTGAGAGCCTCGTGCTTGATCGCCCAAAGCTACGGAAACCCGCCAGCAGCAGGGTCATCATCCAGGGCCAGTAGTGAGCAAACCGCTGGAGGACGGCGGCCAAACTGAGAAGACTTGTTCACTGATCCCTTTTCGGTGTGTTCAGCGCACGGCCCCCGGACCCACCAGAACGGTTTGTGGGCGATGACGGCACCAAGACAAGTCTTGCTTTTTGCAACAGGACAATTAATCAATAAACTGACTATCAGGCAGAGAATCGCAGTGAAGGCAACTTTTTATCATCTACGACGGGGGAAATATTGGCTCGTCAATTGACCTTTGGCGAACTTCTCGCTCCCAGCTGAACGGATTCATCCATAAGCCTTCTAGAAAAATACTGCCTATTGCGTCCTTGGACGCAAGGTTGCTATTTTTACTATAGAAGATCCCCAGAATTCGGAGAGCCCCAATTAGTAACCAGCAAGCAAAGGACTTGCCCAATTAGATAAGCCCATGCGCATTCGTCCTCAAAATATCCAATCGATAAGCAAACCGAAAATACATTCATTTTACTTTGAACATCCATGCATCATCAACATAACTAGCCCATATCTGCGATCGGCTCATGCCTTGCGGGCCAGGCTCTGGTGATGGGTCCTATACGCGACACCACGGAGGTTGTGCTGGTCGTGCCTGGGAATAGTTTCGCAGCTGGTGGTGAAGCCGCCAAGCACCGGCATCCCAAGGCAGTTCGGCAGCCCTGGATTACTTAAGGTATTGCCACTCGCCACTCACCCGCAATATCTAATTACCATTGGTAAGCTCCGTATGGACCAGGCAAGTGAGCATGCGACACGGAGCTGCGATTTAGCTCGATGATGATTATTGAACCTGATTATATATCCATGGAGATTGAATAAAAAGCAATATTTTCCGCAGCCATCCCATGTTATTCATTTGTGGTAATTTTCGAAAAACATGAAGTCTTACATCTCATGTCGATGCTAGCCAGGCATTTGATTGAGGTGGGTCATAATATCAGTGAACGTCCAGGGCTCTTCTCGACTGAGCACAGGCCAGAAACACTTGCAGCTAGCGGTACCTGATATATTACCTAATATCGCGTATGAGGGGCATCAGCACGTCGATGAGGGGAGAGTGGGGGAGGGGCTTTCAACAAGCACAACCAAACAGTCCATCAAGCAGAACAGCTGCGGTTTCTGAAATGATTCCGTAGGCTTTTTCACGCCTTGATTACAAGTGCATTGTGAAGCCATCGCGAACGCCACATTGCGGGGAATTTATTCAGAAGGCCATTCCAGAACAACTTGAAATACCGTCGGGATATTTCAGACCTTCTGCCCCCAGAATTTATCCGTCGAGGTCCCCATTGAAGCACCAAACACCGCACTAACAGCGATTTATCCATCAATCAGCATCCAGATTTCTCCTATTTTCCTGAACGTCACCCATCTTGGCTCCACTGTCCGTCGTCGGATGATGCATCGCGACTTTTGGTCTCCGAATCCGGTACGGCCAAACGCCGACGCGTGGAGATGATGATATATGGATGGGTTTTACTTTTATATCTGGCATGCAGCTCCTCTGCTGGCAATTCAATTGCTCTCATCCGATTTATTCGTTCCCCACGTGCTGTGCCAACCTCGCATGTAGATTCCCATCACTTGATCTCAAACCCACCCTCAGAGCAGAGTAGTTGATCAGCCCATCTTTTGGGTTTGCTTGTAAAACTCACCACAATGGCCGAAATCACAATCACCGGGTTCGTAACGCGCGATGTGCGGTTCCCGACGTCTCTCGACAAGACGGGATCCGACGCCATGAACGCCGCCGGCGACTACTCATCCGCATACTGCATTCTCAAGACTGATTCCGACTACACGGGACATGGCATGGTCGGTGCTCTCTCACTCACCCACTCCCCCGACTCATATTCCTGACATGCAACCCGTATAGACATTCACAATCGGCCGAGGCAACGACATCGTCTGCGCCGCAATCGCCCATGTCGCCGAGCGCCTCCGCGGCAGGTCCCTCTCCGCCCTCGTCGCCAACTGGGGGCAGACCTGGCGCCACCTGGTCAACGACAGCCAGCTCCGATGGATCGGCCCCGAGAAGGGCGTCATCCACCTCGCCCTGGGCGCCGTCGTCAACGCCGTGTGGGATCTCTGGGCCAAGGTCCTGGGCAAGCCCGTCTGGCGCATCGTCGCCGACATGTCCCCCGAGGAGTTTGTGCGCTGCATCGACTTCCGCTACATCACCGACGCCATCACCCCCGAGGAGGCCGTCGCCCTGCTCAAGGAGCAGGAGCCCGGCAAGGCCGCCCGCATCGAGGAGGCGCTGCAGAGCCGCGCCGTCCCCGCGTACACGACCAGCGCCGGGTGGCTGGGCTACGGGGAGGACAAGATGAAGGCCCTGCTGCAGGAGACGCTCAGCCAGGGCTACCGCCACTTCAAGCTCAAGGTGGGCAACAGCGTGGAGGACGACCGCAAGAGGCTGACGATTGCCCGCGACGTGATCGGTTATGACAAGGGCAACATCCTCATGGTGGACGCCAACCAGGTGTGGTCGGTACCGGAGGCCATCGAGCACATGAAGCAGCTCGCCGAGTTCAAGCCGTGGTTCATTGAAGAGCCAACCTCGCCAGACGACATCTTCGGTCACAAGGCCGTCCGCGACGCGCTCAAGCCATACGGAATCGGTGTGGCCACGGGAGAGATGTGCCAGAACCGTGTCATCTTCAAACAGCTGATCCAGGCCGGCGCCATCGACGTCTGCCAGATCGACGCCTGCCGAATGGGCGGTGTCAACGAGGTCCTGGCCGTGCTCCTAATCGCCAAAAAGTACAACATCCCCATCGTTCCGCACTCTGGCGGCGTGGGTCTCCCAGAGTACACACAGCACCTCAGCACCATCGACTACGTCGTGGTAAGTGGCAAACTGTCGGTGCTCGAGTACGTGGACCACCTGCACGAGCATTTCCTGCACCCATCCGTCATCAAGGACGGTTTCTACCAGACCCCGACGGAGCCTGGCTACAGTGTGGAGATGAAGCCTGACAGTATGGACCGATATACATACCCCGGCGAGAAGGGCGTCAGCTGGTGGACGACGGACGAGGCTCAGCCCATCCTCACTGGGGAGAAAATTTAACTGGTAGTAATACGTATGAATAAAATGAAATTATGTCAACCGAGCTGCTTACTGGATCGGCAAGCTGAGATTTCTTCCCACCCTAAAATCGACGATGTAACCATCGCAGGTTTCGCAGCGCGGGAAAGGAGCCCTACGAGCCCTGCCTGGTGACCCTGGTCCAGAGTAATCACGGCTAATAAAATGACCAGGTATGTCACTTCGGAACCTGAAACATGCTTGACATGATACCTGAACGGTGGATCGCCCTATATCACCTACCCTAGAGGCATCAATCGTGATATTCTATTCTTCTTCTTCTTCAACACATTTCATTACTGATTTTTCCGGATAATAAATTTTATATTGCAGGGCAGTTTGTGATCTTATTTAACATGCGTACTGGTTTTTTCCTCATGTGTTTTCGTAAATGTTTTGTGTGTTTAGTTGTGAAGTGACCACAGATAGAATCTCATCATGATTATCAAGAATCTCATCTGCTAACTTCTCAACCTCGGTTTTCGTATTGTTGGATGATTCGCAAGACTCAATCAGGCATACAGTTGGTAAACATAATCAGATAATCCAATATTCCTCATCAAGATACAATCCACTAATAGCTCAATTTCCCTTGACTTCAACTACTGTACCGACAATCATTGCAATGTAAATCGTATCGATACAGACGGATGCGAACCGGTGGGCAGCCACAAATAGGCCCCTGCAACGGCTCCCCGCGGGCCTAATTATAGCACCGCGACCACGCATCGAATGTTCTTAGATCGCATGAACCAGATCTCGCCCTCACTCATGCCTCCGCCCAGGACGGGCTCAACCTAAAACTCCCAGATAGCATCACGGTGCCGCCAGAGATGGCCCTCGTCGATCCCCACGCCAGGCCAGTCACATCGCTCGCCGTCCTCTTCTCCGCATGGAAGGCCTTCCTCCTCGCCATCGCGCTGGCCGCGTCCGCCGCGCCGGACTATGACACGTCCACGTCGCTCTTCTTCCACAACCTGTACTCCGGCACCACCCCTGTCCCCGTCCTCGCCCGCACGCTCACCCGTTGGGATGCCCTCTACTACGTCCATGCCGCCCGCCTGGGGGCCAAGCTCTACGAGCAGGAGTGGGCCTTCAGCACCGCGCTGTCCGCCCTCATCGCCAAGCTCCGCCACGGGCTCTGCTCGGCGGTTGTTTGCAGTGACGATTCCATCGTCGAGCCGCTCCTGGGCATCCTCGTCTCCCACGTGTCGC